CACCATGAGAAATATCCATGATCAGAGGACCCGGGCTCTTGCCTGTCCCCCTCCCTTGACTCTTACTCTCTTTCTCTCCAGTTCCTGCCCGGCTCTCCAGGAGCATCTGCTATCTGCCTTCAGAGAGTTGCACTCTCTGCCGCGCGTACCTGGAGCGTTCTCTCAGACTTCATTTTTTTAGTGCAAACTGCAGTGCCCTCTGCCAACTCCAGCCAGCTAGCTCCCCTTCAACCCCCAACTCCCCTCCTTGCTGGCTCCCACTTGCCACGGACTCTGCCCACTGAAGACCGGTCATTACCCACTTGAGCCCCACCCACCCACTTTTAACTCTCCCATGGTTGCATCAGTCCCTTCTTGCTGCAGCCACTTGCTAGAAGCCCACCCCAGCCCGAAGCAGAACCACGTAGGCCCCTCCCACCATCCTAGACCACTCCCTCAGTCTGATAGCTCCACCATCAGGGGCTGGTCTACTCACGGTAGCATCCCTGGCGCCAGTAGTGCGTGGGGAGGCAATCATCGCACTTGGGTCCCATCGCTCCCTCTCGGCACTCGCAGAAGCCCGTCTCGTTGCACCGGTCGTGCACAGAGCCGATCTGGTTACAGTTACATTCGGGGGGAGTGCAAGGGGTGCGTGCAGTCAGAAGGGCTTGTGTACACCTTCAAATGGGTCCTGCCCCAAACCCAACCTTTATATCCCTTGTCTATATCTCTCTTAGCTCGGTCTCTGGGCTCCCTGGCGATGCTCCCCACAAGAGGGCTCCTGGCTGGGCTGCAGTGGGGGCGGCCGGGGCATCCACATGGCCAGAGAAGGCACTATATAGTTTTTCCTCTCCTGGCATCCAACACCCTTTTCCTCATCGCACTGTGAGTCCTGGGCCAGTCCCATCCCTCTCTCTGAACAGCTGAAGGGGGCTGATTATTTCCAACCCGAAACCAAGAGTGTGACAGGTGTCTGTCCAGGAGGCTGTCTAGTGTATATTACCCTCCCTCCCAAGGCTAGAGGAGGAACAGCAACCAGCAGCTTACCTCTCCTCCCTGCTTGGTCTAGTTGGTTTGAGGGGAGGGTGTGTGTGTGTGTGTGTGTGTGTGTGTGTGTGTGTGTGTGTGTGTGTGTGTGTGTGTGTGTGTAGGGTGTGTGTGTGTCCCTGACCCCCCAGTCCTTGGTTTGAGATGGAGGCACAGACAGACAAGAAGAAAGGACACCTCTAATCAGATCCAGAGGTCATGCCCTGCCCCTGCAGCTGGCCCTGTGTGACACTGGCAACACAATTCTGTTTGATCACTTTAGAGTTGATGGAATTATCTGAAGGCCTCAGCCATGATCCAGAGTGACAGCCCTAGCTTTGCAACTGAGCTGGCCAGGTGGTGCTGGTGGTGCTGCTGGTGGGGGGAGGGGGAATGGGCAGTGGTCATGCTGGCTTCTGGCTAGGATCCAGCAGCTCACAAGTCTGAGACCTGGCTCCTGCTGGAAACAGGCTGAGAGATAAGCAGTCCTGACTGCCCGTCTATGTTACTGGGTGTTGGTTGGGGACTTCGGTTTTAGGGTCTGTCCCCTGTCCAGGCCCAAGGAGTACCATGGGACTTCTCTACAGAAAAGCCAATGTTGGAACAGAACGCTGAAGAAAGAGTGAGTGCCCACGATGGCAGGCACAGCTTTATAAGGCTGTTTCAACAACAGAGGAGAGACAGAGAAACCGTGTGCCTTGTCCACTGTCCAACTTTCAGAGGAGCGCAGAGAGGACAAGGAACAAGCCAAATGTGCACAGTAAGCCTTCGGCTCTAACTAGTGCCGTGTTTGCTTCCAGTGCCTATAGTCACTAGCTTCTGTCACCTCCAGATGCCCAGATGAAGAGGACCTCACCCTCATCTTGAGGGACACACCCTCACGAAGGAGTGTCTGTACCTCCCTGGGTGATTCCTGCCACCAGTGCTTACCAATGCAGACGTTCTCGTCGTCCAGCTCGGCAGAGCCGTTCCGGTAGTAGCCTAGGCGGCAGTGCTGACAGTGCTGGCCTCGGGTGTTGTGTTTGCAGCTGACGCAGGTCACCACGTTCAGGAAGTCAATGTAGCTGCAGCGGTTGGAGTGGCCATAGCACTCACAGTCTGGACCAGCCAAGTGGGAGAAACACCAGGGTCAATGAGCATTTGGGGGAAACTGAGGCAAACAGAGGACATACCCAAGAATATTCAGGGAAAGTGGGAGGAGGCATCTTTGGAAGAAGGATTGGGAAGGGGCTCCTGGTCAGGATGTAATAAGGCTAGCTCTGCCAGCTTTGAGTCCCCAGGAGGCCCGTGGGCAGGGAGTCAGGGAGGGCAGGGCAGGGCATGCTAACACTTGACTGGTGTCAGAGCATGGTGCTATCTGAAAGATGCCCCTGTGCTGGGGCTGCTTAGCAGTTGACTCATGCAAGGTGGGTGGGTGGGGTCGAGCTGCAGGCTGCATTTGCAGAGGGTTTCATGTTTGCCACGGTCCCCTCATGGGCCTGTGGATGAATTGAGCCATACACAAATGTGGACATGATGGACAGAACCTTCCTCCCATGCTGCTTTGGAAGAGAGAAACTGGCTACTGTCCCTGTTCCTGTAAGTCCTTGCAGAACCTCTTACTAGCTAGAACTCCCCACAAGCTTGATTGGCACCATAGACTCTCGGCATCATCTGGCTTTTTCTGGTCCCAGCCCAGCTCTTGAATCTCATTGTTCAGTTCAAACCAAGGAAAGTTACCTCTAAGCCATCGTGGGACCTTTTACATCCCCCCCACAAGTGTTTTGGGTTTTGTTGTTTTGAGACAGGGTCTTCGGTAACTCAGGCTGATTTTGGACTCAATCTGCAGCTAGGGATGACCTTGAACTTCTGACCTTCCTACCTCCACCTACTTGGGTTACTGGTATACAACTCCACACCCAGTTAGTGCTGTGCTGTGGCTCCAGCCCAGGGTTTATTCCTGTGTTCCAGGCAAGCACTCTACCAACCAAGGCACATCTCCAGCCTGCCACACTCAGTTGTTTTTTCTTCCTGCCCCTCCCCCAAGACAGGGTTTCTTTGTGTAGCACTGGCTGTTCTGGAACTATGTAGATCAGGCTAGCCTTGAACTCAGAGATCTGCCTGTCTCTGCCTCTCAAGTGCTGGGATTAAAGGCGTACACCACCATCGCCTGGCAGCTCCCTCTTTCTTGTGATGAGCAGGTTGGTGCTGATCTAGTCTCCATATAGTCAAAGACACAAGAGACGCTGGAGAAATGCCTTTGAGAAACATCTAGGTGAGCTGATGGGCTCACCCATGGGTCTGCCTGACCTGTCCCTTCACCTGGGCCCTCCAGAGACACCGAGGAGGTGAAGCATCCTCCAAATGTCCCAAAGAGCATTGCCAGTGACCCAGTGTGTTCCAGATTCCACTCCAACCAAGACAAGCCCCTGGGCCACACCTCCCAGGGGAGCCAGGTCAGGCTATTTGTGGCAGCTGCTTCTCCTGCCATGTGCCTGCCCACTGTGCCGGAGTTGCCTTCTGACTCATCCCTGCTTTCCGCTCCCTTGGGGCCGGAGAGATGCTGCTTAACCTTGACCCAGCTATTTTGGGAGGATTCTCTGAGTTGGCACTGACTAGTCCTATCCTGCCTTGTTTTTCTCCAGTGATCTGGGGAAAAGGTGGGAGGCCTGGCCCAGGTCATCTTACCTTGAAATTCTTCAATGGGTATCACTTGAGGAGATCTGGGCTTGAGCTGGAAAAGTGTAGAGCCCTTGGCTTGGGAGGGGGCAGCAGCCGAGGTAGCCACAGCTTAGAGAGACGAGAAACAAGTGCTTACACCTGCCATGGTCCATCCACCAGGGCAGGCTATCTGTACTCAGGGATAAGCTAGACCAAGGCTTCTAAGTGCCTTGGGCTGGCTCCAGGCAACCCTATCACCTGTTCTCATTTGAGGCAGGGAGAGACCACATGACCCTCGGGTGTTAGGTGAGATTCTCTTCAGAGTCTCAGGTTGAAGCACTTTGTAGCAATGAGTGCATACCCACTGTCTCTGGTCCCCCGAGGACACCTATCCTTCTGCTGGACCAATCTCCGAGCACCTTATCCCTTTCCTAATTCCCAACCTAGTGCTGAGGCATTTGCTAACACTAAGAGATATTTGGATGGTTGAAAGCAAATGTCACTGCCCTTCTGCTCTCTTCCTTTGTCCCCTGAACTCCCCTGGCCATCAAATTTTGAGTCTAAACCTGGCATTAAATACAGCATCTTGGGGCTGGAGAGATTGCTCAGTGGTTAAGAAGCACTTGTTGCTCTTGTAGAGGACATGGTTTCAGTTCCCAACACCCATGTGTCAGCTCATAACTGAAGCTCCAGTTCCAGAGTTCTGGGGGATGCACCACCTTCTTCTGACCTCCACGGACACTAGGCATGCATGTAGTTGCACACATACAGACAAGCAAAACACTCATACACATAAAATAAATATTCTTAAATAGTTTTAAGACTGCATCTTCTTTCTGTATGAGGACATCTTTCTATTCCAGCTAGAGCAGGTCCTTGGATGAGACTTACAAGTGTCATTAAGCCAAGAATGCATCCCCTCCCTACCTGGAACCCACCAGTGCCTAGCCCCATTCTTAGAAGTGAGCATGCTACTATCACAGAGAAACCAGTCTCTGTGCTCCTCTTAAGGACTTTCTGTCTCTCCAGTGGGGCAAGAGCAGAGGATGACTAGTGTACTTATCACTAGAGAGGATTGTGGGACCATTAGGATGCTAGAAGCTAAAGGTCCAACCCTCCTAGTTGTGCAATAACTTGCCAGCAGAGGGTGCTCAAAGTCTGGCTCATTTCTCTCTAGGGCTGGAGAGGAGCTTGAGGTGTTTGATGGGGTAGAGCAAGGACCACAGGGCTGACAACAGGTCATCTAGGGATAACTTTCCTTCTGAGGACAACCTTCCTTCTAAGAGCCAAGCTAGCAATGCACATCCACCACAGATGAGCCCCTCTCCTGACTGTTCCCCTACAGTGGGGGAATAGTGCCCTTGACCTGGTCCTGGGGCCTTCTACATGGCTTACACCCTTACTTAACCGGCACTGTCCACTGCTGGGCTAAGTCTTTGCCTCAGGCCTCTCCTGCCTCCTTTATTTATTCATAGTCACCCCTATTCTGAGCCCTATCAGTTGCACAAGTATCCTGTGACCCACATTGTGGGGGAGGGAGAGGAGGGTTTCCTGTAATGAGGGAGCCCTTCTACATAACTTTGGAGCCCTTGGGATGGATGGTTTAGAGATATCGACTACTGGCTTCCAATAGGTGCAGAGCTGGGAATTGGGGTGAGGGGTCTACTGGGCCCTTTACCTCGTTGCTTTACTCTTGAGTTCTTCTCCCACTTCTTTCTCCCTCCTACCCAAGGCCCAGCATATAAGCTTGCTATCCCTACTACAGAGGGAGGGGCCCAAGGGCCCAAGATGGAGCTTCCAGGGTCTCAGGCCTACCATAGGCCCTGCCCCCATACCTTCTGCACTGATGGACACCTGGGGCCAGAAGGAGCTGTCCCCAAGGGGGGCAACAGCAGGTGGCTTGGTCTGCCCTTGGGAGGAAGAAGAGAAGAAATCAAGTCACATGAGGGATGACACCCCCACCCTTCCAGAGACCTCTGGAAAAAGCAATACTACAGGCTGTCTACACTGGCCAAAGGACCTGGCTCCAAATCCACTACAGAGGCAACATCTATGCTACTGCAGCCTGCAGAGGATGTGCACACACTGATGCCTGAGGAGAGGAGGCCCCCATGCCTGAGGCTCTGTGGGCTTTGAATAGACCTCCCTTCTTTGGGACATGGCCTCAAAGACTCTTCCCTCTGTGTGGTTTCTGTTACAGCTTAAGGGCCAGGAGGAACAAGTCCTGTGTGTGAAACCTCAGGCTGATGCAGTACTTGGGGACAATGCCCTGGCCAGGATGCTAGACACATTGAGCAAGGTTCTAGACAGTTCCACAGAGTGTCCTCCGATGTCTAACTCGACTCTCTGATCACTGCCCTTCCACCCTCTGATCCTTGCCTTGAGAATCAAGGGACCTCATCATGGGTTACTAACTCTCCCACCCCCGACATTCAGTTCCAGAGCTGGACACAAAGCAAGGAGCACAGGCAGCAATCACTTTGCCAAATTCAAAGGACAGAGCTGGAAGAAGGATGTGTGTGTGTGGGTGGGTGTGTGTGGGTGTGTGTGTGTGTGT